TAAAGCTTGCACTATTCGGTCTTCCCACCGCTGGTTGTTATTCCTTCCATGTTGATCACCTTCAGGTTGCTCAATGTCTTCACTTGATTCTTCACTAATAATGTCAGTGAGTTGTTCATCAACTCTAGGAGCTTGTCTTCTTCTTCCTAGCCCCAAATCATTTTCTACGTCACCATCCCTAGTAGCATTTTAGCTACAAGTTGAGCAAGATGTTCAATTTGTTCTTGCAGTCCTCTTATAGCCTCTTGGAAAACCTCTACAGTGACATGTTGTGGTCTTCTACCACCCCTACCACGTCCACCCCTTGCAGCCATGATAATATAGAAAACACAATAAGGAAATGAACTTTGAAGTAAAACCAAGGAAAGAACTTGCTCTGATACCACTTGATGTGGACAGAAGGACAAGTTACATGCAGCTCTTCAAGTATACAACAATAAGCACAAGAAATACCAAGCTAAAAACAACAAAATAAGTTGGATTTTTAGGGATTTCAGACCTGAATCTGAAGTAAAACTCCTCCTGGAACAGTTCCGCTATAGTAACAATGGCAGCAAGCTGGCTTCCCGTGCAGACACGCAGCGATGGAGGGAGTGGAAGGTGCCAAAATGGGTCGACTCCTCAAAACCCAAGCTCCCAATGCTTGAAAACCCTAGCTGGGGCTGAGCTACAGCTCAAACAAGAGAGAAAGAAACGAAAAACCCCTACAGAAACAGCCCCCTTCTCTTTTATAAGACTCACTGGCTTGCTAGACAAGATAGTTAAAATATTTACACATAAGCCCCTAGAATGTTTCCCTCTCACCAACAAGTCCTTGGGAACAAAACTAATTTCAAATGAACACCTAAAAGATAACTTTTGTTACAAAAAGACCCAAGAGACCAAAACCCAACAGAAATGCACCCAACTGCCCCTGACTAAAAAACCTAACTTTTAAAATGCCGAAAATACCCCTGGTCCCAACTGTCAACAAAGCCACCCAAAGACAACAATTTGGGATTCCACTACAAAAAACATGAAAAACAGAATACATTCACACATTTCTTTTTTTTTCTTTTTTTTTTTTTGCCTCATCAGCTTGATACATCATGATTATGATACTGATGTTGACCTTCTTCATGAACTCATATCTTTACACTGTTTGCTTCCCATGGCCAATGATATTATTTCATTCAGTGCTGTTCCATTTTGTATCTAATGTTATAAGATGAATCCTACCATTGTATTTTTCTTTTTACTTTTTGGTCAAGATGCCATTGCATTTTTCATATCATGGTAGAAAACTGCTAATAATTGTTAGGAATTAGGATGTGTTCCCCTTTTTCTGTGGCTGCATGCATGTGCATACATATGTATGTATGTATGTATATGATTTTTTCAACAAACATTTTATGCTAAATGTAACTACATTCTTTCAGGGATTAGTTATTTCTAAGAAAAAACCACAATCGGAGAGCTTTAATGTTTCATCCTTTTGTCAAGATTCAGTTACTTCTCTTCGTGCAATAGAACAAAGTGAGTGCACAGATAAAGTCGACGATGAAGCCTGCCCAATTTGTCAAGAAAAGCTCAGCAATCAGAAGATGGTATTTCAATGTGGGCATGTTACTTGTTGTAAATGTAAGCTTTTCCATCACCTTAAATTCACTTTTCTTGGTGTCCTTTAAGTGATTCCCTGCATAGAAGAGGAAAACTAGCCTGCCTATTTAAGGTCAGTTTTGTAAACGGTGCAGCAAAGAAGGATTTAGGACCTAGCATCCAATTGGTTTACACTACTAGACTGGCAACAGTGAAATTGTGCCAAATACTTTATATGATGAGCCATTACTTGGTGCTAGGGGTGTTCATTCGGTCGGTTCGGTTCGGAAATAGAACCTAATTGACATTTTGGCTAGGTCATTTTTCTTGAACCAAACCAAACCGAGTTGGACTTGAAACAGAACTGAACCAAACCAAATTTAAACCGGTTCAGTTCATTTTAATTCGATTAATTTGGTTAGTTAAAATAAATATATTTTATACTTATATTAGTAATTATTATTAAAATATTATCAACATTTATAATTAAAATACATATTATATATTATTAATATAAAAAGTAATGTTAATATTAATATATTTATAATTAAAATATAAATATATGTTTTTATTTTGGTTAATTCGATTTTTGGTTCAGTTAAGTTGAATTTTTTTCTCAAACCGAACCAAAACCAAAATTTCTAAAATCTTAAAGCCGAACCGAAAACTGAAATAACCAAACCAAATTGGCTTATTTGGTTCGGTTTTCGGTTTGATAACCAACTTTGAACACCCCTACTTGGTGCAATGGTAAAACCTCAGGTTGGAAAGCATGAGAATGTGGGTTTGATTCTGAGAGCATCCACTTTGTGCCATTAAAAAAGAATGCCAAAGGTTAGAACCATATCCGGTGTACCCCTCCCAAGACCCCAGATTGCTGGGAGTCTGGGACCAACATTGGGTAATGGCCTTTTTGATTCATGTGATGAATTGATGATCGTGAACATCCTAGAAATGTCATTTATTCCTATGGAACTATATCACAGCGTAAATAATGCTTATGGTTAGATTGCCTAATTAGTTTGAATTTTGGAAGGAGCATTCCTTAGTCAGGACCATGAATTAATGAATCAATTCACCTTAGTTAGACCTTTGATTTTCTCTTCAAATGTGGTGAAGCTTTTTAATGTATTGCATGTTTTTATTTGTTCAAGTGGATGTTTTGAAATTGAATATGTGACCCCAGCTTTCTTATATTCACATCCTTACCACCACGGTGTCAGGATTGACTCCTTATGCATATCAATAATGTTCTCTATACTCAAAAGGGTTTGGCAGACATTGAATGGAACCTTTTCATTTTAGTTTTTTATTACATTTAAAACCATGGTTTTAAATTTCAGTAAAATTTTTGCAGAATTTTGGTTTCAGTTACAGTAAACAAAATGATATCCAAAAAATTTAAGGTACATATATTTTCTACAAAATTTTGTATTTTTTAGAGAACTATAAAAATAAATAACATAAATAAAGAAAGTATTATAAAATATCAATAAAATGAAGATTCTACCAAAAATTTCCCCATTTTTTTCAATTTTATTTCAGATTTTAGGTCCAAAATGGATGAAATTTCTGAAATTTAAAACCTTGTTCAAAAGAGTGCATCACTAAAGTGTAACACTTGTGACCTACTTCAAAAGAAAAGGCCAAGTTGGTGTTTATCCCCGCACTGGTGCATCTTATGCAAGAAGAATGGTGAGAGCTGTTATCACTTATTAGTTTCCTGTACTTTTGTTTCAGAAATCTGGTGTTGGTTTTTCTCTCTCTTTGGTTGCAGGTGGTCCACCCCTCCAAGTGTGCAAAGCTTGTTTACCTCTACCTTAGTGAGGGGTTTAAAAAAGAGAGGTAAAATCTTGTGGAGATGTGTAAGAGTAGTTGTATGCTGGACAGTGTGCGTACTTTCCATGAAAAAGAAAAGAATAAAGAAGCCATCGTTGACTTAATCTTTGTTAGGGTGATTCACTGGGTCAAGTTTATGAAGCTATTTGAAGGATTCTCAGCAGGAGATATCATTAGAAATTGGAAAGAAGTAGCCTGGTCCGATTGGTTAATTAATTCCCCTGTTCCAACTTGGTCTCCTCCAACTTTGGGGTTCACTAAATTGAGCTTTGATGGCAGCAGCAAAGGAAACCCAGGCCCTTCAGGTATAGGTGGAGTGTTTAGGGATGAAGAAGGTCGAGTTTTGGCTATGTTTTCAGGGCCTATAGGTTGGGGAGATTCTTTGAGAGCTGAAATTTTAGCAGTATTAGAAGGGATAAAAAGAGCCAAACAGCTGAATATTAGGAAGTTGATGGTGGAGGGTAACTGTAAATTGGCTATTAATTGGCTGCAAAAGGAAGATGTTAGTTTGTGGAAATTCTTGAATGAAAAAAAGAAAATTTACCAGCTCACTCAAGACATGCAAATTAAGTTTCAGTAGTCCAAGAGGAGTGCCAATTTTTTCGCAGACTTTTTAGCTAAACAAGGGGTGGGAAGAGCTAGTTTCTTTTGGGCTGTGTTGTAATGTGATGTTTTGCTTTAGGGCGGGGTAAGAGTTTTTACCCCCCCCCCTCCTGTTGTATTTTCTTCCTTCTCCTTTATTAATAAAAGTTTATGCTATTGATAAAAAAAAAAAAAAAAATCCCATAGTAACCTTAGTGCAATTTTCATTAGTCTGCCTGAAATGAACCCATTTTGGATGGTAAAATTTGTGGCATAAAATGCAATGATAAACCAACGATATCACTTCATTCCAGTTTAGAATAGGCTGACAAACATGAATGCTTCAAGTCTGTGAATTGCCACAAAAACAAGGGTTAAATCTATATCCAGTGTATCCTTCCAAGACCTTTGGTAGTCAAGAGCATCATTGGGTAATAACCCTTGTCTCTGTATGTAGGGTAGAGGCATTTGGTTGTGAAGCTAACTTGCGTATTTGTGGGCAAGACATTCATTAACCATGTCTCCTCAACCTTGGAAATCTTCACCAATATCTGTTGCTTGCTCCCATTTCCCATTTACTTTTCATTTTCCTATGATTATATTCAGATTCTCTAAGAAGCTAAGTTCAACCTATGCATCATTTCATCTTTCTAGATTAACCACCTCATTTTCATAAAAGCTTTTCTTTCCTTTAGTTTCCTATTGACCTACTCTGTGATGCAAGGAACCAGAAAGTCTAATGAAACTGTTGGAAAACGTGGGGTTATTGGTGCAGATCTATATTTGGTAGTTGTGTAAAAATAGAATTGTATATATTCCTAGGATTGTGGAAGGATTGATTTAGAAAGTTTTTCTTTCTATTCTTGTACTTTCTATTTT